TTGTGATATTGGGCTTTATAAATAAAATTGATTGATTGAATTGAAACTGGTACAAACATAATAAGGTTCTGCCCCCTCAGGGCTTGAAGCCTAAATGCTAACTAATGCATACACAACACACAGAGTTGGAGAAACAGGGGGGTCAATAGAGGCCCAAAGCTAATTCTTGCCCCTTGGGTCTGATGGTGAGTTAATCCAGCCCTACCCCTGACTATTCCACTGCACAATAAATAACGAGGCGGACGTTGGTTTCCAATTTGCAGCTTTGGATTCGTCCTTTTTTGTAAAAATCAATGTTTCACAAATTTGTTTTCAAAAAAGTCTTTAGGCTTTTATTGTCTTCTTCATACAATCAAAAATGCTACACCAAAATTTCTGAGCAGCTTCAGCTGGAGGAGGATTTTGGAACATCAGCAGGAAAGATGAGCGCATTCAATTTACACAGACTTTATTTCATGAATAAATTATGCAAATAAATGAACACACAAATAAACTTTATAAGATGACACTTGCCAGCTACTGACTCCTGTGTAGTTGATATAATGCTAATGATTAGCCCTCTAGCTCCGACATCTGATGGAGAAATGGTGGTGAAGGCTGAAGGTTTCAGTTTCCACATAATTCCTCTGCTACTCAACTCTAACTGCAGACAGTGCGGTTAAGGAGTGCAGTGCACTACATGAGAATGCAAAGGTAAAACCACTCTAATTTTCAAGTCGTGAACACTTGGTTCTAGTTAAGCCACTCACTAAAGAGAATGTATTGCCCTTATGTAACAGGATGCTGAGGATGATTTCACACTGGAAAGGTGAAAATACAAGCATGGTCTGACAACAAGCTTACTGTTGCATTTCTCTAAGAAATAGGGAAAGAGGCAGGGAAGAAAATCCTAAACTGCAGCGTTGGCTTCATGAAGAAGTTCAGGTTAACAGGTGTTGGTAGGCTACTTTGGTTTTTTGCTTTCCATCTATGGTCTTGCCTCCCCCTAGAACAGAAGAGTCAGGAGGGTTGGACGATGAGGTGGATGGAGGCATTGGATTAGCTAGCCCCTGGACTCTAGAGATCTGCAGGAAGAGAGAAAGAAAACAATGCTGCATGCTGATAAAATACACTACAAGAACTGCCACACATATGGCCACTACAACATACAGTTGTTATGGTTAAGATGTTAATGATCAATGTTAAACTTATTGTCTGCTTTCAAATGTGTTTCTTGATGATTTGTTCACCCACTAAACATGAGCTAAATAACCAACAATGTGTGTCAGTCCTTGTGTGGAACTTTTTCCACAGATGTTAGAAGTACATATATCCATCCACTCTAGGGATGTCAGTTTCAGTTAATTTTGCTTTCAACAGCCCAACACCCATTAACCAGCAAACACTATATTTCTAAGAAAAAAAGAGTACAAAATGAAGTGAAGTACCAGGGTGCGTTTCATTTAGTACATGAAATTTTAATGTTTTGTGATGTAAATATTTTGCCTTTTATTTTGTTGTCAGCTTTGCTGACAGCCAGCCAGCTAGTAACGCTGTCTCGGAGATAGCATGGTGTTGCTATGGTACATGGTGGCAACTGACTTAAATTTAGCCACACTCCTAAGAAGAGGTGATCACCTACCTCCGCCTCTTCCTATAATCTCAAGCTATCCATTAAAAAGATACAGCACATGAAAAATAAGTAGAGCCCATACATCCCTTCAGGTAACTCTAAGGGGACTGCTGCAGCATGAAAGGGTCATGTACTGATTACTTTCTTACAACACATACCTGAAACAAGTTAGCTCCCCCCATGTTATTTACATTTTGAAATCTGATCATAATTCAGACAGAATCGGGACAACACTTAATAACAGCAAATGTACTTTAATTAAATAGTGGTGACTGGATACAGACTAACAAGCAGCCTCACGAGTAGCTGGTGTGCTGCTGTCGTCTCCGGGCGCTCCTCATCTTCTCAAAGCGAGCCTCCATTTCCTCCAGGACCTTTGGGGTGTAGCGGACCACCAGCTTGACTGAACCCTGGGCGGCCTTCAGTAGCTCCACAGCCTTCTCATGGTGCTCCCCCTCGACACTCTGCATGGACACAAACACCTCAGCCTCAGACCACATGCTGTGAGGGGCCAAAGCTCTGCAGGGTACTATTCCAGTCACTACATGGTTCCTTTCACTGATTAAGACACCAGTGTTCACAGCTGAGAAGTGAATTAGTTAAGTCCGCTCTGATGTAAAAACATCTTTTGATTAACATTCTTAATGATCATGTTTTGGGGTTGTCACGGATGTGATTGAACCCAAATGCAGCACTCAGAGGCAGGCAGACAGTTGGTAATGACCTTTATTTAAACACAGAATAACCAGAAACTTGAGCTGACAAAGATTCAGTTCAGCAGTTCATTCTTCAGGGCTCAGAGCCCACACACAATCTCTAGGTTCAGGGGCCAGGGAGTGGACCAGGCTGAGCAGTTCAGTTGGCAAGCAGGCAGAGTTAATAAAGAGGGGCTTACTGATGGCATAGTTTGAAAAGGGGAGGGACCTGGAACCAGAGGAGCAGTCCAGCGAAGCAGCAGAGCCGACGAGGGATGAGCAGCAGGGAAGTAGGATGCTGAAAAGTCATGGCAGGAAAACACCACACAGCCACAGGCAGATGGAAACCAGACACACAGAGGCAGAACTCATGGTCAGGGACAGACAGCTGGTGAGTTTACCAGGAAAAAGATAACGTAGACAGGTCAGGAACAAGCAGGGTTGGTACCGGGGAATCAAGCCAAGAATGAGTGCTGGAATGTCTTGCATGGAGCTGAAGAACAATCTGGCACTGAGGAAAAGGCAGCAGCTGCTGATGAGAAGCAGCTGTGTGGAGTTGTCTTGATGAGGGGGGCGTGGCTGGCAGGTAGAGTGGAAAAACACAGGGAAAGCGGGGGAGCAGGGGTGACAAACTGGCAGCTCTGAAATAGTGCTAACAGAAAAACAGACCGATTTAGAAAGAAAGAAAGCAAGAAAGAAAGCAAGAAAGAAAGAAAGAAAGAAAGAAAAATGGTGCAATTGGTTATTACCAGCAGTGCAAACAAATGGTTGTAATGAAATTATTATTAAGCTATAGAGGAGAGACTGTAGAGAGCTGTGAGTGCTCTCTGACAGACAGAGGTGAGGTTTTATGGCTTGGGGGAGTAATGATTTCCTGTATCTGTCCTCGTGACAGCGAAACTGTAACAGTCTGTTGGAGAGCTGTTGATGTCTGTCCAGTAGGCTATGTGGTGAAGAGGGTGGTCAGGATTATCCATGATGGATAACAGTTTGTTCAGTGTCCTCCTTTCCACCACTGCTTCAAATGAGTCCAGTTTGCAGCCAATCACAGAGCCAGCCTTCTTAATGAGTTTCTTAAGTCTGTTGGTCTCACTGGCTCCAATGCTGCTCCCCCAACAGACTACAGCAAAGTAAAGTGCACTGGCTACAACAGACTGGTAGAAGAGCTTCAACATCTTGCTGCACACATTGAAAGATCTCAGCTTCCTCAAGAACTAGAGTCTGCTCATCCCCTTCTTGTACACAGCATTGGTGTTGGCCTTCCAATTCAGTCAGTTGTCTATGTGGATGCAGAGGTACTTGTAGTCCTCGCCCATGGTGATGTCCTCTCTCCGTATGCACAGGGGTTGAGAAGCCGTCCTCTTCCTTCTGAAGTCAATCACCATCTCCCTAGTCTTGGCTACGTTCAGCAACAGGTGATTACTTCCAGCCCACTCCTGTGCTACTCACCACCATGTCAGACAGGACACTGCCCAGTTGGACATTTCAATCTAGGTTTGGCCTCATTTACACACATCACACAAATTCAAGTGTATCTGTATCTGGAGTTGCTTTTAATAAGAGAAAGCGTGACGACATTCTAGTCTCAGTCCCAGGTAATCAAATACTGCCACTTTGTCACGCCCCTCAAGGTCTGATACCAATGCAGTAGGTTCCTTTTAGTGTCTGTATTAGACGCACCAGGCTTTTAACTCCAGTTTTACATGCACACTAATATTCCCTTATTATTCAGAATCTGACAATATTCTGAATTTGATACAGGTCATGTAAACAGCATATTCTGTTTGGATTTTCCGAGTTAGGTCTTTTTGCGAATTAAGCATTTTCTTAAGACATGCGAGAGATGTCTGTATTATTTAGGTTTTAATAGCATTATTTGTACATGTATACCGTGCATTTAAAATATAGGCCCGTTTCCACCGCAGGAACTTCGGGGTAATTTTACGGGGCCGGGGCCGTTGGTGCGTGTCTCCACCGCAGGAACCACCCCCTAAGGACAGAGTTCCGGAACTTTTACAGGGGCTAAACAAGTCCCTGCCTCGGGGTAGGTACTCAGAACGGCCCCAAAAGACTCCTGGCTGGGGCTTGGGGATTACTTAGTGCTGACTGGATATACTTAAGGAGGGATGTGACGTGAACAGAAAGCTACAAAATAGCCGGCATTTTTAAAACTCAGCCGACGAGGGTTAGCTCGTTCATATAGCTTCCGCCGCAATGTAAAAAAACCTCACTAAATGGCCCATGAAAAAAATATTTTTTCCAGCGGATATCTTAGTTACAACATGATTGAGCTAGCAAAGCAGTTTTGTGTTGCTATGTGTGGTATTTATTCAGTTATGGGAAATCATGATGTCTAGAAAGCATCAGTAGTGGCTGCAGCTGACAGGGACAGCTCACAACAGCATCTGTTAAAAGCCTCCCGTTGTCGGATACGACATGAAACTACTCCAGCTAACTCAATCATGTTGTAACTAAGACATCCGCTGGAAAAAATATTTTTTTCACGGGCCATTTACTGAGTTATTACAGACACCGCTATCGGCTAACAGCTAACAACGTCCCTACGTCGCCCCGGTCAAAATGGTCGCACAACGATTACGTCACATCCAGAGCCCGTAACTTTACAGGAACCTTCCTCCTACTCTACTCTCTCAGTGGAGACACGGCGGTTGAGAGAGCTGAGTGAGAGGACGTTCCTGTAGTAGTTCCTGCCCCCCAAATAGTACCAGGAACTTCTTCAGTGGAAACGGGCCTTATGTGTTGCAACTGGGGTTTTTACCACAGTTTGCCAAACATGGCCTCTTGCCTATTTATGATCAGCCCTGTTGTAACACAAACCAACTAGGATTGCAACAGTGTAAGATTCTCATGGTACCATAACCATCTCAGAAAATATTGCGGTTTCATGGTATCACCGTATTACAGAATCTATAATATTATCAGTTGAAATGAGCCTTAAAGGAATGAAGGAAGGGTGGTTGAGTAAATGTTTTATTACTGTAATTGAAACTTCAAACCATTTTGTTATTGGAAGTGTGTGTAAAAATTCTTCCCTTTGAAAATAACTAAAATAAAGGGGAGATTCTCCATTCAATTGCTTTTTTTTTCATTCATTCATTTTTCGTATCCAATTATCCTGTTATGGGTCACGGGGGGGCTGGAGTCTATCCCAGCTGACATTGGGCAAGAGGCGGAGAACACCCCGGACAGACCAGCAGACTATTGCAGGACTGACACACAGAGACAGACAACCATTCATGCTCACATTTACACCTATGGCCAGATTCCAGTCACCAATTAAACTGCATGTCTTTGGACTGTGGGAACAAGCCAGAGAACCTGGAGAAAACCCACACTGACACAATGCCAACCTTTTCAAGAATGGAGGCTGAAGGAATGAAAAGGGAGACTGTGTTCACAAGGTGAAAGTCTGCCACAGGTAGGAAACTTTGAAGAAAACCCTGCTTTGATATTAAGAGGCAAAATGACAAATGGCTCCAGCTGTTCCACCTTTCCAAATTTTGATGTGATAAATGACATGTTTGGGCACTGTAATCAGATTACCGTAATCTGAGTATGCACAGCTGCATGTAAACAGTCAAATATTAATTTTTATTAGCCAAGTAAACAATTTAGTAGGAATAGAATAGAATAGAACAGACTTTATTGTCAATGTACAGGGTACAATGAAATTATGGAATTAGGAATATTGTCTTCTTCAGAATAAGGGCAAACACCTAAATATTTTGTGCATGAAAATGCACTCATTGAGGTATAAACCACTGTCCATGTCTGGTTTTGGCCAATATCGATGCCTTACACCAGCTGAAGCTGTTTTTGGTGACTGCTGGTGGTCGTGCTCTCCTTCTCTGCAGTGACACAGAAGTGTAGATTAATGCTGGCTGTGGTTACAAGTCTAACAGACATATAACTTTCAATCAAAAGAGGTTAGTGAAACAGTGCATATCAGCAGTATAATGCCTGGTTCACAATACACGACTTTTCTGCCCTTTCTGAAAGTCACTATGTCACATTACACGATTGTGGAGTCATAAAATCGTGCCGTGACTTGGCCGACAGACATGACACACTACACGATGGTACTCACCAATTATCCCCGGTCATCTTTCACAATGTGTGTGATGTCATCGGGTTATTCTTGTCCTATTTTTATTACTTTTACTATTATTCCAGTCACTGTGTCTGTTCATGTGCCAGCCGAAATGTTGTTGTAGTAACGAAAAAGCTCCACCAGATGGCAGGAGCTACATTTAAAGTACCGTACACAAACATACAAGCCACTGAATCCTCCACAAGTTCCTACAAATGTTTCACAATAAAAGCCTTTTTAGAAAATGGAGGGATTCTCTCAGCCGAGGTTATAAGGGGCTTTTAATTTGAAACAAATTCAGGAAGCGTTGAGTTTGAAATGACGGCGCGATGCATTAACTATATCAAGGCAACAGGAAAGGATAAAAAGTAAAAATATAAAAACACAGAGGGAATGACAAATAATGGCCCGTCTGCAGTTGTGGTGAGTAAAAGCCCCGCCACTATTTTTTAATTTTCTTACTTTATGTCTGTCTCCATTATGAAGAAATAACATTCTTTGCTGGCTTGATGCTGATAACAGCACTCACCAGGTTGATAAAGAGCTTCTGCTGTTTCACACCATAATTTTTCCCTTTTTACTCTGTGTGGTAACATCAGTGGTAATATCAAACCCTGGAGTGTTGTTGCCATACAGTTTCCATGGCAGCAGATTGCTCTGTGTTCCTATTGGTCAAAGTGACAGCTGTGACGGGAGCAGTCGCGAACGAGAAAAAGAAAATCAAACATGCTAGAATAGAATAGAAGTCTTTATTGTCATTGTATGCCATACACAACGAGATTGGAGATGCTACTCCTAATGGTGCATAGACACAAGAAGTGCACACATTCAACATTCCACATAAATAAAAACAGTCATTCATACATCACACATCAGTTATTAAAATCAGCAATAATAAGACATCACATAAAAAAGTCCTCAGTGCAATTTGTGCAAAGTGCAAATCAGCAATATACAGTTGGGTGAGTCCATGTGCAAAATATGCATGTATTCAGTGCTTATTTAGAATTTAGTGCAGTAATGGCCTGAGGGAAGAAGCTGTTACTGAATGTGTGTGTCTTAATGGACTGGTAGCGTCTGCCTGAGGGCAGCAGCTGAAACAGGTTATGGCCAGGGTGTGTGGAGTCTATTGCGATGTTGTTGGCTCTTTTGAGGTAGATTTTCTGTTGGAACGTCGTGAGGCGTCCCAGACGTGGCATCGGTTGTCGTCTACTATGACACGAGACGAAACGATAGATTACAGTGTACGACACTCGTAGTTCACGATCCATGCCGACACCATACATCGCTGTGTCGGGTTAGAATTGGGCTGATATCGTGTAGTGTGAACCAGGCATAATATGCACTTGTGATACCTTACTTACATTCAAATTACAAAAACAAATCCCCAGTGTGAATCAGTTTATTTTACTGTGAATCAGAAAATGGTAGGTGGGCCAACCCGGCACTCTATTGAGGGCCAGAGTCAGCCTGCAGGCCATATGATTAGTATCACTGATCTACTCAAAGTATTCTGCTAACAGCATGCAGATATTCGTCTACATCAAATTTGTTACTTTATTTAGAAAAACTGGCCTGAAAATGAGTGTGTGTACCTCCTCTCAGTGGGTCTGAGCTTCTTACCACTCCATTGACAGACAGCAGCTGGTCTCCTCTCTTCAACCCTCCTTGGCGATCGGCCACCCCACCAGGGATCACTCTGGAGATGTAGATGGGGGAATTTTGCTCTTTGCCCCCCATGATGTTAAAGCCCAGACCCTCCTCTGTCTTTGGCAGTTCCACCACCCTTGGGTGGGCATGGCCCTCACTGGCTGCAAAGGCTGCCACTGTGGCCTGGTCAAAGAAGCAACATAGAAAATGTTTCACATAAAAATGGTCATGAAAAGAGTTTAGGTGCCTTTAATCTCCAGTTACACAAAAGAATGTATCACATAAAGCTGTTTCAAATGAATATAAGATAAAATGGTTCGGACATAATGGATCTCATTTTCTGTTTGTGCTACAACAATCACAAGCAGCACTCTGACAGTTTGGTATTTTCTTGATCTTGAATTCTCTGTGTGGTATTTTGGTGTGCAGCACAGAGTTTACAGTGTAGAGGTGGGAGGAGAGGAACAAACAGGTAGGAGGTTCATTCAAATTAGGTGGTGCAAAGTAAACTGTTGGTATTTAGGTGGTAACTGAGTCTTAGAAGTTGCACTTGGAATAGACGTCTCACAACCAAGTGTCTGCTTTTGTCAAAGAAAGCACTTGCAGCAAATGTGCAACAATGATGGAATCATGCTTCAGGGATAGGTTGACATTTTTTCAGGTCTGTCTTAAAACAATACTCATTCCCATAAGTGCAATGGGAATCTTCACCCTGCTAATTCTAGCTATAAACAGATCCCTTCATAATATGAAGTCAAATCCACAGTCAAGCTGAAGTTAGACAAATCAAGTGGAGATCTCCCAAAGTTATAGTCTGTTTAGTTCACAGTTAACTGGTACAAACAAGATTTATGATCACAGCAAGCAAAAAGGGTTTTAATCTACAGAGTTGTGTGAGAGTTAAGACAGACTTAAGACTAGAATTACCACCCCACGGTTGTATGCCTCCACCCACCAGTCAAGTTTCTCTTATAGTTTCCATTCATGGCTGTGAAAACATGGATGCTTCACACACAGAAGATAAATCAGCATAGTTTCAAGATGGGCAACCAAGATTAGTGTCACCAATTAAGTATCTGACCAAATATTTTCCCTTCTGTTCCTGAGAGACACTGAATAATGCGCAGAAAAATGTTTTATGCAGAACATTATGATGACACAGTAAAGTTAACCTTTGACCTTTTGGATATAAAATGTCATCACTTCATTGTTTAATCCTATTAGACATCTGTGTGACGTTTTGTCATAATTAGCATATGAATTCTTGAGTTAGGGCCAAAAACATATTTTGTGAGGTCACACTAACCTTGACCTTTGACCCTAGACCACAAAATACAAATCAGTTTATTTTTCAGTCCAAGTGGATGTTTGCATCAAATTTAAAGAAATTTCTCTTAAGGTGATTTTTTTAAGGTGATTTTGAGATATCACATTCATGAGAATGAGAGAGATTCAAGGTCACCTTGACCTTTGACCACTGAAATCCAATCAGTTCATCACTGAGTCCAAGTGAACGTTTTTTTTTGTTTTGTTTTTAATTTATTTAGACAAAACAATACATAACTCACCAAATACAAATAAAAAAAATAAATAAACACAAATCAGACATAACTCACACTAAAACAAACACACGCCTTAACATATATCATGACAATGTATATCAGCAGGCCTAACCACCTAAATAAGCAACAAAAACCATTAACAGTAGAGGTAGAAAAAACAAAACAAAAATAAAACATATTTCAAATCAATACAAACTATTACCAGCCTTGTACTTCAATAAACCTGTCCCACCTTTCCTAATATTTTTCAACATCCCCACATAAATTTCAATGAACTGATTATACTTCATAAGTTTCCCCTCTTCACACACAATATCATTTATAAACCAAACACCATGATCAAAAACATTCTTTCAAAATATTGGTTTCCCTTCAATTACAATATTTGAGTTTAACCTTATTATTTGCTGTAAGATTTCATCTTGACTTTCTGGAGGATGAAACTGAAAGCATAACCAGCACTGAATAGCTTCCTTTAAAAACACAGATACATTTCCAATTAGATTATTCACACAATGTATATGATTTTGCTGAATCTGTAAAAAAGGATATAATCGTTTTTGAAACAATGGATGGGTACTTTCCAGTAATTTACATGAAAACCAGTCTTCGTTCAAATATAATTTTTTAACAAAGGAGGCCTTCAAAGAGAAGCATAGGGCCTCCAGATTTAATAATTTTAACCCACCATGTTCATAGTTATTATAAAGGACTCCTCTTTTGATCCTTTCTGGTTTATTACCCCAGAGGAATTCAAAAATCTTCTGTTCATAACACTTAAAAAAGGACCGCGATGGAGTTGGGAGGGACATAAATGGATAAATAAACTGTGGCACAATCAAAAAATTAACTAGGGAAATTTTCCCATAAAGTGTTAATGTTCTTCCCTTCCATGGCTGTAAGATTTTATCTATCTTGCTCAACTTGTTATTGTAATTTATTGTACAAACATCGTCTAGTTTCTCTGGAATCACAACACCCAAAACATTAACTAGCTCATCAGTCCAGACAATTGGCAATTTACATGCCGTTTTATAATTTGTACCTTTAAGTCCATCAATCCTAAGTATTTTACATTTTTCATAATTTGGTTTCAAACCAGAATACTGTGAAAAAAGTTGCAAAAATTCAAGAAGAGTTTGCAAACAAGAAGGTTTTGGACTTAGCAGGAAGCTAGTGTCTGCATACATTGATATTTTTGTTTCCATATTTCCAACTTCAAGCCCCTCTATGTCCACGTTACACCTTACTTTAATGGCTAGTATTTCCATAGCAATTATAAATAAAAATGGTGACAAAGGGCATCCTTGTTTGACTCCTCTTGATAAAGGCACTGACTTAGAAATATAACCATTATTAATAATCCTACATCTAGTATCCTTATATAATACTTTAACCCAATTAATCAACGATTTTCCAAAATTAAAAAAGTCCAAGCTTTCAAAAATAAAATCTAAAGTAATCTATCAAAGGCTTTCTCCAAATAAACAATAAATATTAACCCATTTTTGTTATTTAACTCATAGTTTTCAATAATCTCCAACAACTGTCTGATATTATTACCAATATAGCGACCCTGTAAAAATCCTGATTGATCTTGATGAATAATGCTTGTCAGCACATTCTTCATTCTATGAGCTATACATTTAGCAAGTATCTTAGCATCATAGCATTGGAGTGTTATTGGTCTCCAATTCTTAAGATTCACTGGGTCCTTGGATTGACCACTGGGTTCTTGCTTGAGTAACAAGGAAATAAGCCTGTCTTTCTGAGAATCAGTCAAATACCCAGCATTATAAGAAAAATTAAAACAAGAAAGTAATGGTTCATTAACCAAATCAAAAAATTTCTGATAGACCTCAATGGGTATTCCATCTATTCCAGGTGTTTTCCCTGGTTTAAAGGCCATTACAGCAGAAAAAAGTTCTTCTGTAATCAAACCCTCACATGATTGTTTCTGCGTAATGCTTAATTTTCTTTCACAGATTTGTGGGAAAATTTTTTTGAAAACTACTCAGAGGTTGCAACTGAAATGAAAATATCTTAGTAAAATAATTTTCTGTCTCACTTAGAATATCTGTCTGTGTGAACAGTACTTCTCCATTATTCAAAGTTAATTTGGAGATATTTTTTTAGATATTCTGAAGATTCAAGAAAAGTTTTGAACATTTTTCACCTTTCTCCATCCACTCTGCCCTTTTGTAATCATAACTTCTTAACAAACGTTTCCCCACTAAATCATATAATTCATTTTTTCATCAGTTGAACTATCGATATTAAGACTCAACTTTTCAATCTCTGCAGCTATTGTTTGTTCTTTCAATCTCCTTTGTTTTTTTTCCAGGAAGCATAAGCAATTGCATGTCCTCTAAAACAACATTTGAATGCTTCCCAAACTAATAAAGGACTTGCTGTACCGATATTACATACAAAAAAATCATTAATAAATCTCCTAGTCTTGCTAACAAATTCTTCATCTTGAAGAAGACTTTGATTAAACTTCCAATACCCTGGTCCACGTACATTTTCACACATTAAAAGATTTAATCTACAATTATGATCAAACCGTAATTTATCCTCTATTGATATGTCAGTTACTTTAGATGTAAGAGAAAGGATATTAAGAAGAAATCAATTCTACTCGCCTGATTTTGCCTTCTCCAAGTATATCTTATTAAATTTGGATTTTTAAATCTCCAAATATCAACTAAATCTAAAGCATCCATATGGTTATGAATTTTTTTAAGGGCATGTGGATGAGAGTTAATTGGCGGATTTCCTTTTCGATCTACCGTGCTATTCAAAGCTATATTATAGTCTCCCACCATAATAATTTTCTCCTCTATATCCTGCAACTTATTAAATATATATATAAATATATCATCTGTATTGGGTCCATACAAATTCAAAATACACAACTTCTCTCCTTGAACAATTACATCTGAGCAAATGAATCTGAGCATATAGAACATAACTGAAAATTAAATTGCTTCTTAAAAACAATCATAACACCTTTTGAATTTCTCTGACCATGTGAAAAGTAAATTGGGCCATCCCACTCCTTCTTCCAACTAATTTCATCTAACTCGATAGAATGCGTTCCTGTAAACAGAAAATATCTTGTTTTTTTTCCTTGAGCCATGAAAAAATAATACACCCTTTTTTTACGATCTGAAAGACCATTACAGTTATAGCTGGCAATTCCTATTTCTTCATTAACGATACTAACTCATTAAGTACTTATGTTCTAGTATATCTTTATTAATCTACCCTCTCTCCCCAGGAGGAAAGAGATACAAAAAATAACAATAAAGGAATAACAAAAACAAAATTTCAAATTCTCCCTTTTGGTTAAGCCTGATGCACCATCCTGAATAATCAAAAACATAAAACATTAATAGTGACAAAAACATTAACACAAAACACCTAATCTAAAAACAATGCAGTCCATTTCCCATGGGTTAGCTCTTGTCTCAGTCCCAATATAGATTATAGTCCAACATTTAAGAAAAGACTGAGTCAATGAAAAAGAAAAAAAAAAAAGAAGTGATGAAGCATCCAAAATAAAGCTCTCATCTAGCGTGGTTTTAAACATATCCTTAAGATATTTTTCATCATGTGGTTGTATTACTATGGGGATGGTGTGTAAACAACACTTTTAACCTATCCTAACACAAGGCAGCGGTGACATCATAGACCTGCACCTTTTCTGTGTGCTTACCCCGATCCATCACCTCTGTAAAGTTCGCCATTTACATAGAGTTTATCAACCACAAGACAAACTTTTTGTCCCTTCTGTTTTAAGGAGTTCATGACTGGAATAAGCTTGCGTCACTTCTTAACCACTTCTGCTGGATATTCATTGCTCAAGTAGAAACAGGAACCTTTTAGTTCTCTGCTGAGCCCCAGGACTTTATCCTTAAACTTGGAGTTGATGAATTTAACGAGAGGTCTCGGTTTACCTTGATCTTTACGTTGTCCAAGCTTGTGTACTCGTTCCAGCTGGATTTTTTTAACTTCTTCCTCCGGAATACCGAGTCGATCCTGCATGAAATTCCTCGCAAGCACCTCCGACGTTTTGTAAGTTTCCTTCTGGGTTTCTTCTATTCCCATAATCAGCAGGTTGTTCCTCATGCTCCGGCACTGAAGGTCCAACAGCGTCAGCTTGAGTTTTGCATTTTCATTCGCCAGGGTTGTTGTTACATTTTTGAAATGCACAATGCCGTCCTTCAGTACTTTCTGTTCTTTTTTAACTTCTTCCATGAGAGCGTTGGTGTACTCCACTGACTGTTTTAGCTCCGAGACATCAGACTTTAAATCCTTTAAGATATCCAGTTTTTGAAGCTGGTTAGAGATACCATGCAACATCTCTCGGTCCTCGGCAGTAAAAGTAAAGTTATCATCTGAGTCACTTGAGGTCAACATATCTCGGCCTCGCTTTGAATCCGGTTGTTTACTTCTTGGCATTGTTCCCCATCTCAAGAAATCAGATGAAAGTCAAAACTTTAGCGGCACAGCCGAAGTGTAGCGTACGCAGAGACTTTAAACCATGCGGCATCCTACGGCGTCTGTAAAAGGAGGGCTCGCAAGACAAAGGCTGAAGGCTCACCTTTTCTTTTGAGCATAAATATAGTTTGTTCTTTCCTTCTTAATTTACCAGTCGCCGTTGTTGTTACGTTGAACGACACCACTTACATATAGGCTAATAGAGCGTCATTTTCTCAGCCAATATATGTTAAATTTGGGACGAGCTGATTGAACTGATTCAGCCACTATACCTCATGGCGGCCATGTCCGTCCCCTGTCCAAGTCAACGTTTGTGCAAATTCGAGGAAATTCCCTCAAGGCATTCTTGAGATATCGCGTTCACGAGAACAGGACGAATGAATATACATACCGATAACATAATGCTTCCTGATGATCCACTAAATTATTACTTGTAGCCAGTCTGCTCCAAGTGAGTATTGCACCCATACTTAGGAGGGTAAAATGTCATGGAGGCCTCGTAATCTGAACCAAAATGGCAAACTCTTAACTGCCTCCCTCATTGTCAGCTGCAGCGCATTAGCTTCTCTTCTTTCTTCCCCCTGCACAATATAAGCCTTAGACAAGGTCACCCCCGGGATGGTTTCGAATAATGAATGAATGAATGAATGACTGAATGAATGTTTTTGTCAGTGGGTTTCCTAAAGAAATAAAGATTTGTAGCCCCAGAGCACAGTGACATCTGCTGTGTTTACCTTGATTAAATCACATGCACATGACAACAGGCTGCTACACAATAACCACACACACCTCTGCGAGAGTACATATATTAATCACCACACCCTCTGATCTCTTTTGATTTTAAGGTTCTCCTGTCTGTTTACAAAGTCCTTACTGGCCTGGCCCCGTCCTACATCGCAGAGCTCCTAACCCCTTATTTTCCCCCCAGGTCCCTCAGGTCAGCTGACCTGTGCCTGTGTGTGTAGTGTCTCTAAATGCATGAGCTGTATACCTGACAGTCATGTTGCCTCTCATGTATGTATTTTTAGCAACTTATTGCTTTTGTACAGCACTTTGGTCAACATGAGTTGTTTTTAAATGTGCTTTATAAATAAACTGAGCTGAGTTGAAAATTGAGTTTTTCCACTACACCCAGCACTTTTGCATTTGTGCTGCTAAACCAAAATAGTAGGCGAGCTTGTAGATGCTCAAATAGTCCAGTGCACCAAAGACCTACCACTGTGTGCTGGTTGCTGTGCTTTTTCAACTAAAATAGGATCTGATGTCTCTGAAACAATGCCTCTTGTGTAATAGTGAAGTGCTCTTCAGTTGTCAGTTTGTGTGCAATACCTTGGCAGTAGCCTGTGCTCGCACCTCTGGTCCTCCAGCAATGTCCAGAGTGTCATATAGCTGCTCATATACCTGGGGGACGACAGGGCAGAGCACAGATGAGTCAGACCAACATATGAGTGCAGTAAAATGATATAATGGATAAACAGGTCATCATCTATCACACAGTATCACCAACATCCAAGACAAAGAGTTAAACCTTTGAGTAACAAAGCTGTATATTGGCCCAAGAAGTTTAATGATTAGTACTTTGATGTGTGAGTTTTCATGATAAATATGAGGTTAAAGAAGTATTTCACTGCTGAAGAGAAGGTTTTCTTTTCTTAAAACTGGGCTGGGCTGGGTTGTCTGTGCAGTCGAAAGATGCAAATACTTTTGTAATTGGTGCAACATGACCACAGAAAACAGAGATGGAGCTGTGACATTCACTTATACCAAAGAGGCAGAAAACCTACAACTACCAGAATGCACTGCACCACACTAGACCAATAAACACCTGCTGGTGGGGGATGTAATGTGAGATGCTGGTAATAAACAATCTCATCTTACGGTTAAACAATAAGCTAAAGGTTTGAAGTGAGATATAAGCCATGCAGTAACAGAATCTTGGTTTATGTTTTAAGTTTTACAGTTTGATCTGAGTTTGAGACAGAGAGAGAGGGGCATCTCTCTTTCTCGATCTACTTATATACTCTTCATGCAGAGGTACAATCTGTATTTGGAGCAACACTCCTAGAGCCTGGGAAAATCCGACTTTGAGCTGGGCAAGATGGAGGGAAGTTTACCACAGCTCATTTCCACATACTACCCAGTCTGTTATGATACATAGCTGGCTGAAAATCAGCAAAGTATCCATTTAACAGTGGTTTAAAGAGGTAGTTAATAGTTAGGTAGGTAATAGTTTAAACAGTTGGAAACACAGTCACTTGCTTTTTTTATTCGGAGAGTGAGGAGAGAGGATGAATATCAGTCTGATGTCTGTATGTTGAGCACAGAGCTGAGGTCAGGGTGTGGTTAGCATCAGCTTCACATAAAGACTGGAAGCAGGAGGAAACATGAAGCCTGGCTCTGTCCACAGTGAGAAAGTAATGCACTAAAGCTCACTAATTAACATGCTATATCTTATTTGTTGATTATTTTACTTAAACTGATTAAATACTTGTTTATTTGAATTATGGATGTCAGTTTCGGTTCATTTTGCTTTCAACAGCCCAACATCCATCAACCAGTAACTAATCGGGTCCATTTTTAAGTGAAAAAAAAAAAAAGCAAAATGAAATGAAATATGAGAGGCCTTTGCTTTTAGTCAGGTGCTCCATTGAATAAGAGAGCTTTAGCACCACATTACAAAGCACCTTCTGTTTCAAAGTGGTAATATTTTAATGTTTTGTGGTGTAAATATTTTGTCTCTTCTTTTTTGCTGGCTCTGCTGATGGACCACTGGCTAGCTGTGTTAACATGTGAAACACAGTTGTCGCTGCCCCTCCTTCAGTCTCCACTTGTTAGCTGACAGTAGCCATGGCCACTTTGCACTGCTTACCACTCTAGTCTAGTGGTAAGCAGGCACTGCTCATTTGGCATTTACAGGAGGTAATACTGTAAATGCCAGTGCCAATGTGGGGTGGAGTTGCTGTGGAAACATGGTAACCACCCTCTGGTCTCCACCTAGGTCACCCCTGTTTCATTTTGAGCTGCAAACCCCCTTTAACATTGTTGACTATGTTAGCACCATGAGCTGTGCTGACACTGCTTAACTCCGGTCCCCCTTATAAAAAAATCACACCTGTCCCCTTCGGGATGTTTTTCGTCCTTGTTGAAAAACAACCATAAAAATATTAAATATTAATATTTTTTCTACTTTTTTTGCTTAAATCTTTTAACCAACTCATACTCAGATTATACATATCAAATATTCATTCATTTTGAGGATTTTTAACCCTTTATATGCCATTTTCTTTACATGAATTCACTGTTACTTTTATGAAAAAAACATGAATTATGAATTACTTTCTATATAATAAATGTTGGATGGAATTTTTTTTTTCTAATTATCACAGTCTGGGATATGTGAATGATTAATAATAACAACACCAATTTTGATGCATTATTATTTTTTGTGCAGTTTCAATTTTTCAATAAACACCGACACTGTCCTTGTTGAAAAACAACATAACAATATTAAATATTAATATTTTTTTTCTACTTTTTTTTGCTTAAATCTTTTAACCAACTCCTATTCAGATTATACATACCAAATATTCATTGTGTGTGTGTGTGTGTGTGTGTGTGTGTATGTATGTGTATAAGAGAGAGAGAGAGAGAGAGGGAGAGGGAGAGAGAGAGAGAGAGAGAGAGAGATGGAGAAAACAGTAATGTAAACTTGCAGCAACCTGCAGCTCATAATTTGCAATTTTTAGCTACACAATTACACACATGTACATGCACACACACACACACACACACACACACACACACAATATTTCTTTAGTATCCATACAGCCACAGCCCCCAGACATCCATATCAACACTAACCTAGCATTTATTTTAATTTTTTTTTGCAACAATGGCTCCCAAACCACAATAATGAAAACACAGAAGAAAAATACAGGCAATTTTACTGCTTATTATTTAGTGTGTGTTTGCTCTGCTGGGGAAGCAGGAGAAAATGTATGATTCAGCTGGATTTTAGTAAAAACTTCCATTTTGATCCCCTAACTCTGGAATGCATGACTAATATCATCAAATTCATGTTTCTAAGTTGCCATGAGGATGTGATGAACAAATACAGAATTTATGGTTTTACATTTAGCTATATTTTCACATAGGGATTTTACACTGCGTATTTTGAGTCCATGTACACACACGCACACAAACTAATATTGCAATATTTTTATACAGACCACACTATCACATCCTTATGAGCACAGCAAGACCATTTTTTGACCTACTCTGCATTTGCCCACCCTGTTAGGGGCCTATAGTGCTTCAAGTGCCAAACCAGGAATTGTATTGAAAAGACAGCAGGGCCCAAAAAATGGAAATTGGCCCCATCTGGTTTTTTTTCTTTTTTTCCTGGAATTTCTCAATTATGTGATCAATAAAGGTGTATCTTATCTTATCTTATCTTATCTTTTACCATTCTTGGGTCTCTTTAACCAACCTGACTGCCAGAGATAGAAAAAAAAAATCATGTTTTTTATGTAAATTGAAGGGGAATCAAAAAATGTCGTTTTAATGGGTTTCAATGGGGATGGTTTTCGTCCGAGAGGGCAAGGTGTTGTAAAAGGTTGCCATCTGTGTATTTTAGGCCTGATTTAGGAGCGGCTTTAAAATTTCAAAATATCACCAAAAATAAGGTTTCTGACCAAATGTCATGCTATATGCATGAACACAGCCAAGTTATCAAAAAATAAAAACTGAAAAATGACTGAAAAGGACGTTTTCCGTCCGAGCGGGACCGGAGGGTTAAAGTGCTAACAGAGTTATCAGTGATAACATATCTTCGTTAACAATGCTAAAGAGGGTTTGTAGCTCAATACTGAAACTCTTGCTCACTGGCACAAGCTGGGGGGAGCCTGGGGAGTAGGGTTGCAACGGTATGAGATTTTCATGGTACAATAACCATCAGAAAATATCACAGTAGCATGGTATGACAGAATTATTATTATCAGTCAGAATGACCCTTAAAGGAATGTTTTATTACTATTATTGAAACTTAAAATATTTTTTAATAAAAAGTCTCCCTTTTAGAAACTTTGCAAAACTCAAGTCCATCAGCTCTCACAATGAGATGAAAACTATAACCACTGCATTAATCACCTCAAGGCTGGACTATTGCAACTCTCTGTACCTGGGTGTCGGCCAGTCATCTTTGTCTCATTTGCAGCTGGTGCAGAACGCTGCAGCGAGACTCCTTACTGGTGCCAGAAAAAGAGACAACATTACACCAGTGCTAGCGTCCCTGCACTGGCTACTAGAGATGTTCCTAGTGACTAATTTCCCTGTCGACTAAAGGAAAATATTAATTAAGACTAGTCAACTAGTCTAAAAAAGGAAAACACTCAGAAAACAGTCCAAATTTAGCACAATTTATTGTTAAGTATTTGTAACATTGTCCCAAAAAATAGTGTGTACATTAAGAGCTCTTTGAAGGCTTTAATCACAATCTTTAACAACCACGTCAGATTTTAAATGCCGCTGAAGTACGAGACACTTTGCGCCGTGTGGTATTAATGTGAACATAACGGCAACTCAGTCAAAAGTTAACCACTAAAATAACATCTAAAATTAAAGCTGCAAGCAGCGATGAACGGGCCGTTGCAGTCCACGTGCGTCGGGGCATGCTGTCGTCGGGGGGGCATGCACCTAGAAGTCTTGTCAGCTGTAATAAATAAAAAAATAAACGTTATCTCTTACTTACATTTCCAGTATACAGGTAGGCACCCAACCCACGCATGTATTTTTCCAAAAAGTAGAAGCTGAATACATGCCCAATAGTTCAAGGTCTTCTGACTCTTTAAAAGTTGACATGGTGTCTCTAGCTCAAAGTATGAGGGACAAGAAGAGGTTGAAAGTCAATGAGTTTTGAAGAGGATTTGAAGATTTTCCAATTTACTTCCATTCACACTAATTAGACTGCCACCAGAAGGCCACCTATTGGCCGATTTGCACCGGGCCGTGGAATAAAATCAACAAAAGTATTGTGGTAATCAGACTGTATTTGGTCAAGATATGAAAGACTTTCTGTTTTGAAAACAATGTGCAGGAATTTGTTGTTTTATATTTTGGGCGTTTTTTGGACTATCAAAATTCTTTTAATAACTTTTTGTCAGAAGGGTCCACAGATGCTTCATGCAAAGTTTGGTGCAAATCAGTCATATTGCCTAGGAGGAGTTCGAAAAAGTAGGTTTTTCATTTGTCGCGATTTAGCAAATGGAGAGTTACTGCAAAAGTGGGCGTGGCTTACACCACACAATTCAGCTGAATTCAGAGAACACGTAAATAGAAGGTTTAACAATGTGCGACATATTATGTGGGAGTTATTAGCCAAAAACGCTTTTGCATTGAAAATA